TTATTTAGTGGCGAACAGTGGGCCTCATGATGAATTATATATCCCATCAGAGGAGGTTCTTCTGTAGTGGGGGGATTTTCAAAAATACTAATCAAATATGTATGTTTAGTCTTCATTAATGCAGCTTTTAGGAAATAATATTCAACCACCCCTCCCGGTTTGGGGGGCCTTTACACGAGCACCCCACAGTGGAAGATAAGCCTGTTTGGACGTCATTCATATATAATTTATCCTCAAGATAGCACATCATCCCAAGTGTGGCTCTTTTGCACATCAACCAAGTCAATTTGGTCTGATAGAGACCAAAATTGGAAATGTTTCTATGTAATCGCTATATGCCATGCTGCTCACATGTGCCATTCAAGAAATGGTGCCTGCCTCCTCACCTCGTCTGGCATTAGTTTTTTTAAATATGGCCCTTGATGTCCTCGCCAGTTTCTGGTTGCACCGTAATTCTGCAGTGAGAGGAGTGCTATGCCAAGAAGTGGGGGGTAGACAAGTGCTTTAAGCATTGCTGAGTTGGCTTGACAAAGCCCCAGCACCACACACAGACAGACACAGGAAAATGCAGCGTCTGCTTAGAGCTCAGCAAAGGTGGGGAGGAAGGAACCAGCCTCCTCCATGTCTCACTGTAGGCCTGCACAGTGCAAATCCAGCCTCACAGGCCAGTCAAATCATGTTACCCTGAACACTCCTGAATACCACAGTCATTCTTACCAGCTTGTTACAGGTGTACCACAGGCCTTAGTGGCTGGACAGGACAGCGGAGTCACTGACCACCTTCCGGAGACACTTGAAATTCTACCTCTTTAAGGAATACCTGGAATAGTATAACAGTAATTATTCTACCCCCCCCCCCCCCCTTCGCCCACCCCACCATTTAAAAAAAAAAGAAAAAAAAAGAAAAAAGGGTGGTTGTCCCACTGGCTATCCTAAGTTGAATGCACCAATTTGTAAGTCCCTCTGGATAAGAGCGTCTGCTAAATGACTTAAATGTAAATGTAAATGTAGACAGATGGGCTCACTACACTATCTAGTCTAGTCACTAAGGTCTGTAAAATACCCCTATTTTTGGACGGATGCACCTCATTTAGGCAACTGTTGTGTTTCCATATGTATATTTAATGTAGGGATATAACTGTTTCCTGTTTGGCCCCAACAGAGAGAGCGACTCCGAAACATTGAGAGGATCTGCTGCCTGCTGAGAAAGGTAAGTAGCTACTGAACACTGTCCTATTTAAAACACTTCCTTCATTACTTCTTCTGCTTATGTCATTTAGCCTACATTTTAGAGCTACCAAATGATCACAGTCTTCTATACCTCGACTTTGCACAGGGGTGAATTATAGTTCTGTACTTACTGTATGTCAAAACATTCATATTCCTGTTTAGTCAACTGACATTATGAATGAGAAACATTTTTGGTAAAGTTTAAAGCTTGCCCTTGCCTTCCGAAAGCTGTCTTGTCTTTATAAAAGACTGTGTGTGTCCAGTGCCTGTGGTCTGTGAGCCTGAGGTTACCGTCTGGGACTGAGAGAGTGTGTGTTGTAAGGGATGGTGTGAGGTGTGACCCAGGTGCGGTGCAGGATAGACAGTAGGCACCCTGGCTCTGCATGGCAATCGTCAGCTGGCTGAGATTCTCGGTGATCTGCTGCAAGCTGCGGTCGTGCTGGTTCAGCATAGCTCCCTGCTTTGCCAATGCGCTGCGATACTGTGCTGCCACCTCTGGGTCTATATTGGCTCTGTTTTCTGTAAGGGTTGGTGTGAGGTGTGACCCAGGTGCGGTGCAGGATAGACAGTTGGCAGTAGGCAGAGATGGTGAAACAAGGATATTTACTGGTGGTCCCAAAACCAGGATACAAAATAATGGATTTGTCACGAAAAAATAAAGGAGGATCAAATTGGTCTCCAAAAACAGGCTAACAGCAAACATACGAAATACTAACTATGACTGAAAACAACAATGAAACAGAGAGAACACTTCTCAAGAACCTGTACATACGTCTCGCGATCAGACACTGATTAGGACTGTTTGGCATCGAGAACTAGCAGAGAAAACAGAGCAAGGGAACACAGGGAAGTGAGGCCATAAATACACAGGTGAACAGATAGACACAGGTGACACCAATAAGATAATGATTAGTCCAGACTGTGAGTGAGGAGGTGTCTAAGGTTGTCGGTGGATGACACCTAGTGGGTCGCTCCGGAACTGTGACCCCCTCCTGTAACAGTGTGTGTCCAGTGCCTGTGGTCTGTGAGCCGGAGGTTACCGTCTGGGACTGAGAGACAAAATGATTCTCTCAGCTCAGTCTCAGTGTGACATCTGTTTCAGTGGCCTGTGAGGCTTCACCCTACCTCTGCGTATGTGTGTGTGTGTGTAGCCAGTGTGTGTGTGTGTGTGTGTGTGTGTGTGTGTGTGTGTAGCCAGTGTTTGTGTGCGTGTGTAGCCAGTGTGTGTGTAGCCAGCCTTGGGCTGGTGGAGTGGAGGCTGCTGCTGTTCTTTATCTCTGTTGTGGACTCTGTGCCTGAGGCTCATCTGTCACCCCTGGAGACTATAGTGTAGAACTACACCAACACCACATCAGAACAGTGGTTGACTGTTATTGTCCTACTCTGCCCGGAGTCATAGAGCTCATTCATGAGAGTTCATTGTTCAGCACTGCATGGACAATGTTACTGAAGATATGGTTATTGTTTGCTTCTGTATGTTCCAAATGTATTCTTTCAGCATTTGCCGATCTGAGCCATATTACATAAAATACTATCTTGATCTTGTTTTTGATAGATTGTGGGGTTTATTTTCGATATGGGCTTGTTTTTTGGCAGCAGGTGCTGTGCGTTGCGATACAGTCACAGAGAAGCACTAGCTGGAGCCTTTATTTCATACGGTTTGGTTTAGGGGTGTGAAACAGCGGTGTTGTCACAGCAACAGAACCAACCATAGGGTGCTCCTCATCTATCTTTCTCTTTTTATTTTGGTCTCATTCTCCCTCCCCAGTCCCCACACACCTCAGTGAGTACAGAAGCAGAAGCACAGCAGTAAGGCGGTGGAGCCTGCATCACCGCTTCTTCCTGATCCTAAAATACACAGGAGGACCGTTTTCTCTCCCCTTTCGTTGGAGGGCGATAAGCTATAGAGAGGGAGAGAGTAATGGAGGTAGATGAGAGAAAGATAAAGAGGAGGGGTAGAAAGAGATAGGGAGAGCTGCTGCGCTCCGGTGATTCAAAGCCAATCAGAGCGTCTGTATGGTGTTGAGTCATGGAGGATTCCACTCCCTCCCACAGCGCTTGGCTGGACCCATGCCAACATGTCTGACTGAACAGACAGCTTCCAATCCTTCAGGCTGCACTACCACAAACTGAACAGACAGCTTCCAATCCTTCAGGCTGCACTACCACAAACTGAACAGACAGCTTCCAATCCTTCAGGCTGCACTACCACAAACTGAACAGACAGCTTCCAATCCTTCAGGCTGCACTACCACAAACTGAACAGACAGCCTCCAGTCCTTCAGGCTGCACTACCACAAACTGAACAGACAGCCTCCAGTCCTTCAGGCTGCACTACCACACACTATTTAGCTCCGCAAACTAGACTTCTCACAACACTTCAACAGGTTCTTTGGCAATGGATGGGGAGTGTCATGTTGACCAACTGTATTACTCCCAAGCACAGTTCAGCTCATGGAGAGTTCTCAGAACACCTCGTATGCTGTTTTCCAATGTAAGGGGTTATAAAGTGATAAGGAGCGTAATCCTTCTAATCTGTCCTGCTATGTTATCACAAGTTTAGCACATCAAGCTGTTTGCACTTCTCCTCTTATGCTCTTTCCTAATGTAATGGGGTAGAAAGTGATAGGTAGTGCCATTACTAGTCAAATAAGCATATGTCCTCTTTGTGTGTGTGTGTCTGTATGTTGCAGTGTGTGCTATTAATGGAGCATGGTTGTACTGTATGTTGCACACAGATATGATGATGAAATATGAATGTAAATCTATGACACAACCAAGGAGGAGAGGATTACCGTGGATTACCATTAGAAAGTCTTAGTAGATCGCTGTGTTTGTGGATCTGTATTCACGGGATATTGAAAAGGGATTTTGAACTGATAATACTAGACCTCTCTTACTTGACTGTACTATAGTCCTCTTGTCTTTCTAAAAGGTCACCCCAGTTCCCAGCCCCATATTATTACACTACAGTAGGAGATGTAAAAAGAAGTCAAATCCTACATATGGAAATGCAGCATCCTGACAGAACAAACAACAAATCCTTGTGAGCTCAGCACTGATAAGGAATAGGACTGAGTGTTTCCTCCACACCCTCTCTCTCTCCCTCGCCCAGGTGCGTGAAATTGCATACTTCTCCCCCGCCAGAATAATCAGAGCTTATGCAAAAGAATTGGCGCTCTGATCCCAGGCAGTGGCAGAGAGGGAAATAACACTCAACTGGCGATTGACAGCCACCGTTAAGAAATTGGAATTAATAATAATCATGCCTGAGCAGTGTGTTGGGCATTGGAAATGGAACCAGGATTTGAGGAGTACGGAACATAGTGTTAATTAACTGTTGTTGGTGTTTTATACTTGCAACCCAGTGGTTGTACATTATAAAGGTAGAATGAGGTTTGCGTTTATCTAATAATGAATTTAAACACTATACTGCACATTGAATCTTTGATTGATTCATTCATGATTCCATTTATTATTTCTCCAAGTCATTGATTGATTTGGGTAATTCATGCAGGAGTTGCTCCTGTAGCCTCCAGTATTTTGATCGGGCCGCTGCTTTAGTGCTACCTACTGCTCTGCTTTGATGCTCAGGCTGTTGAAGAATAAAAACGTCCCCAGCAGGAAGACTTGGATACCTGACCTGACCTCTTCAGCACTTACCATTACACCTCTGTCTCTGCTTCTTATCCCTTGTTTATTCCTCTTTTCCCGGTCGTACAAAACCTCCTGGATGAAGAAGCCTTGTTTCTTTTTTCTTTTTCTCCAACATGAGTGTCATGGTGAATCTCCCTCACAGCCAATCAGTGCCCAGCGAGGTGAGGAGCCGATGGTTGCCGTAGCGCTGTGTGTTTATTCTTCAAACAAGGAGCTACTTTTGATGTTTCAATACAAAGGTTTCCGTCCTCTGCGTAGGATTTTCAGTTAGTAGAGGAGCGGGGAGGGAGGGAGGGCAGGTTTGGCTTGACAGATGAGATGAGTGCTGCTCGTTGGGAATGTAGATGTTTACAAGGGTGCAGACACAAGCGGCTCGTGGTGTAGTCAGGTGATGTAGCTACAGTGTCTGATGTAGGCTACAGAGGAGCTGCTGGTTTGATGAAGCTCATGAAAGGACTGTTGATGTGGAGCAGGAGGTACAACATGGTTAGGTACACGGCACTCAGGACTTGGGGCTATACTTACTGTGGTTCTGGGCTTGCTTGTCACACTGGGACCTTATGTTGATGTGTGGGTTATTTCAAGTGTATGACGTCCAAACTGTTGCTGCTTTGATTTCTCCCTACCTGCTATATGGTTGGATAGTGGGATGCACATTCATTCTCACTGTAACACATATACAGTATATTAACATATTTGCCCAATTGAGTTACTATTAAAAAATGCATTACAATTTTTTTCTGTGCTCTGATAAAGATAGACAGACAGAGCAAGAGTCATACTGGAAATCCCCCAAATGATTGGTTCAGACTGTTGAGCCCATTAACTCACTTTGGTGGATATTGTGAACTGCATAAAATCAGTGCTCATCTCACTGTCATTTCCCTGTGCATGATTTGAATGAGCAGAGCGCAGCACTCTCTTAACATCAGTACAGTATAATAAAGGAGTTTCCTTCAAGACAGGTAGGAGATTTGTTAGTCTGAAACCCTGTAGTAAATCATTCCAGTTGTAATGGTACTGTGCAGGTACTGATGTACTGTAGGAAGACCAGTGGCTTAAGTTGAGTTTATTTCTGCACAGTGACAACATTCAATACCAACTCTTTGTATCAGTGGTACTACATGGCCCCGGAGAGGAAGTTTACTTTCCACAGGCACTGTGTCACAGCAGCAGTGAGCTACTTGTGTTGTATCAGACACACCTGATCTACACCCTCTGTGCTGGAATTCACTGTTGAGAAACAACCAGAACTGCCTGGAGTACAAACCTCATTTGCCTTTAAAGTGCCGTGGGCAGGGAAGAGAGGAGAAGAGGAGAGGATCCAAGGGGAAACAGTCTCTCTCTCTCTCTCTCTCTCTCTCTCTCTCTCTCTCTCTCTCTCTCTCTCTCTCTCTCTCTCTCTCTCATTTACATTACATTTTTGTCATTTAGCAGACACTCTTATCCAGAGCGACTTACAGTTAGTGAATTCATCTTAAGATAACTGGGTGAGACAATCACAAATCTCTCTCTCTCTCCCTCCATCTGTATATCTATCCACCTATCTATCCCTCTGTCTATATCTCTCAGACGCTGGGATGAATATCCCGGCGGGCATCAGGCAGTTTGGCAGCCCACTGCTGAGTTGTACTACTATGAATATACATGAGCAGCCACGACGTACGGCTGGGGAAAACAACAAGAAACAGTGCAGTCGTCCAACATTAGTGGGATATTAGCTGTACATGTAAATGCTAAACTGGCTGTACCCAATATGATACATAAAAAATAAAGCAACTCTTAGGCCTTGGTTTTTAAAGTCCCCTTCTAGCACTCTGTCATAGAAAAATACTTTCTCAAATCTCTACGCTATTAAAAATAGAATAGGACTGTATGCAGGGTGTAATCAGCTGGTGTTTCATGCCATGGCCCGAATTTTGCATTTTTCAAACACCTGAATCTAGAGCCATAATCATTACGCTTAATGATTCCCCCTCAGGAGACTGAAAACATTGGCCGGCAGGGATGTAGCTCAGTTGGTAGAGCATGGTGTTTGCAATGCCAGGGTTGTGGGTTCGATTCCCACGGGGGGCCAGTATGAAAAATACAAAAATAATGTATGCACTCACTAACTGTAAGTCGCTCTGGATAAGAGTGTCTGCTAAATGACTAAAATGTGAATGTTAACAGCTTCTACCGCCAAGCCATAAGACTGCTGAACAATTACTCAAATGGCCACCCAGACTATTTACATTGACCCTCCCTCTTTGTTTTTACACTGCTGCTACTCTCTCTTTATTATCTATGCATAGTCACTTTACAAATTACCTCGACTAACCTGTACCCCCGCACATTGACTCGGTACCAGTGCCCCCTGTATATAGCCTCATTATTGTTATGTCATTTTCTTGTGTTACTTTTTGATGGTATTTTCTTTTCTTTACTTAAGTTTATTTTGTAAATATTTTCTAAACTCTATTTATTGAACTGCATTGTTGGTTAAGGGCTTGTAAGTAAGCATTTCACGATAAGGTCTACACCTGTTGTATTCGGCACATGTGACAAATAGAATTTGATTTAATTTGTATTTTATGTCAAAAATCTGTTTATTTTTCTGTGTATCTTAGCATACCTCTGTCTGTATCCTCCTGATTCTTTTTTTAAAGAAACTAAATATGCATCTCTGCTAAAATCTGGGTAAAAGATTGAAAGGAATGTGAGTCGTATTCAGTACATTTAGTAATTGCTTGCTTTTGTAAAGTCTACCAACCTTGCCAGCAGGCATGCCAGCTAAGATAGTTAGACAAGCTAGCTACTCTAACTTGATTGATAGCCTGAAATGGCTTCTTGGTAGCTAGTTATGAGGTTGGACGATTGGGAACCTATCTGGGCTAGCTAAAGACAATTTCATAAAATTGCTAGGTGGCTAGTAGTATTACAGAGAAACAACAAAAACAAAAATATATATATTGTTTTTTTACAGGACACATCTGAGGGGGCACGTGCCCTTGTGCCCCCTATGTGCATGACGCCTCTGTTCTAGCCAGTGTCTTGATCAATACGATCCTCTAGTATAGTCTACACGTTATCAGTCTACACATAAACTCCTCACTTTGCCCCTAATTTTTCTGTCACTGTATCTTGTTCTACCTCTCTTACTAGGCTATAAGAGTGAGTAAGGCATGTCTGAGCTCTGTGTTCATGATCCCATTACTCTTCCAGACGAGGTGTGTGGAGCAGAGCAGGTCCCTGCATATTTCTGCTATGTCCCTGGGCACTACAGTCATGGTGAAAAGTTTTGAGAATGACACATACTTATTTTCACAAAATCTGCTGCCTCAGTTTTGATGATGGCAATTTGCATATACTCCAGAATGTCATGAAGAGTGATCAGATGGATTGCAATTAATTGCAAAGTCCCTCTTTGCCATGAAAATGAACTTAATCCCCAAAAAACATTTCCACTGCATTTCAGCCCTGCCACAAAAGGACCAGCTGCCATCATGTCAGTGATTCTCTCGTTAACACAGGTGAGAGTGTTGACGAGGACAAGGCTAGAGATCACTCTGTCATGCTGATTGAGTTAGAATAACAGACTGGAAGCTTTAAACGGAGGGTGTTGCTTGAAATCATTGTTCTTCCTCTGTTAACGATGGTTACCTGCAAGGAAACACGTGCCGTCATCATTGCTTTGCACAAAAAGGGCTTCACAGGCAAAGATATTGCTGCTAGTAAGATTGTACCTAAATCAACAATTTATCATATCATCTAGAACTTCAAGGAGAGAGGTTCAATTGTTGTGAAGAAGGCGTCAAGGCGCCCAAGAAAGTCCAGCAAGCGCCAGGACCGTCTCCTAAAGTTGATTCAGCTGCGGGATCGGGGCACCACCAGTGCAGAGCTTGCTTTGGAATGGCAGCAGGCAGGTGTGAGTGCATCTGCATGCACAGTGAGGCGAATACTTTTGGAGGATGGCCTGGTGTCAAGAAGGGCAGCAAAGAAGCCACTTCTCTCCAAGAAAAACATCAGGGACAGACTGATGTTCTGCAAATGGTACAAGGATTGGACTGCTGAGGACTGGGGTAAAGTCATTTTCTCTCATGAATCCCCTTTCCGATTATTTGGGGCATCCGGAAAACACCTTGTCCGGAGAAGACAAGGTGAGTACCATCAGTCCTGTGTCATGCCAACAGTAAAGAATCCTGAGACCATTCATGTGTGGGGTTGCTTCTCAGCCAAGGGAGGGGGCTCACTCACAATTTTGCCTAAGAACACAGCCATGAATAAAGAATGGTACCAACACATCCTCTGAGAGCAACTTCTCCCAACCATCCAAGAGAGTTTGGTGACGACCAATGCCTTTTCCAGCATGATGGAGCACCTTGCCATAAGGCAAAAGTGATAACTAAGTGGCTCGGGGAACAAAACATCGAAAGTTTGGGTCCATGGCCAGGAAACTCCACAGACCTTAATCCTATTGAGAACTTGTGGTCGATCCTCAAGAGGTGGGTGAACAAACAAAACCCCACAAATTCTGACAAACTCCAAGCATTGATTATGCAAGAATGGGCTGCCATCAGTCAGGATGTGGCCCAGAAGTTAATTGACAGCATGCCAGGGCGGATTGCAGAGGTCTTGAAAAAGAAGGGTCAACACTGCAAATATTGACTCTTTGCATAAACTTAAAGTAATTGTCAATAAAAGCCTTTGACACTTATGGAATGCTTGTAATTATACTTCAGTATACCATAGTAACATCTGACAAAAATGTCTTATAACACTGAAGCAGCGAACTTTGTGAAGACCAATACATTCTCAAAACATTTGACCACGACTGTAGATCAAAGGGGCTAGCAGCAGCATACTGCCTAGACACCTGCACTTCAGAGTGTTGATATATCCCTGGATACTCAGGATGAAAGGTCTAGTAGCAGAATATTGCAGAGATACCAGTCGCCTACTTAATTGTCATCTGAAGTCAAGCTAGCTCATGCTATATAGACACAGAGATTTTAGATTCAGTTTCCTTCCTATTATTCTGTGGTATAGTGGTCATGGCTTTCACCAGAGTGGACTGCAATAGAATTCAAAACCCAAAACATTTCATACTGTAAAACAAGTATGGTCAGCAGACTTTGATCTTTAGAACAATGTTTAACCTGATTAGAAACAGGTTTTCCTAATTTAATCTATCTTCAAGCATGTAAAATATCAGAGGTGCTAAGTTGAAAAAATAATTCAGACAAGACTTTGGAGTTACTGTATGATGGACTATCAAAGCAGTGGCATCTCTGTATCCTTATAATGAAAATATTAAGTTCTGTGAAATCAGTTGGAAATGTATGTACAGTATGTGAAGAAATTCGGCTTGGCCCATAAGACTCTCATGAACTTCTACAGATGCACCATTGAGAGCATCCTGTTGGGCTGTATTGTACGATTCGCAACCGCAGGGCTCTCGAGAGGGTGGTGCGGCCAGCCCAACGCGTCATCGAGGGCACACTGCCTGCCCTCCAGGACATCTACAGCACCCGGTGTCACAGGAAGGCCAAGAAGATCATCAAGGACCTCAGCCACCCGAACCACAGCCTGTTCAACCCCGCTACTATCTAGAAGGCAGAGACAGTACAAGTGCATCAAAGCTGGGACTGAGAGACTGATAAACAGCTTCTATCTCCAGGCCATCAGGCTGTTAAACAGTCAGCACTAGCCTGGCTCCACCCAGTACCCTGCCCTGAACCTTAGTCATTGTTACTAGCCGACTACCACCCAGTACTCCTACCCTGCGCCTTAGAGACTGCAGCCCTATGTACATAGAGTAATTGAACACTGGTCACTTCATAATGTTTACATACTGTTTTACCCACTTTATATACTGAACAAAAAGATAAATGCAACATGCAACAATTTCAAAGGTTTTACTGAGTTACAATTCATATAAGGAAATCAGTCAATTGAAATAAATTATTAGACCCTAATCTATGGATTTCACGTGACTGGGAATACTGTTGGTCACAGTTACCTTAAAAAAAAGGTACGGCCGTGGATCAGAAAACCAGTCAGAATCTGGTGTGACCACCATTTGCCTCATGCAGTGCGACACATCTCCTCCACGTAAAGTTGATGAGGCTGTTGATTGTGGCCTGTGGAATGTTGTCCCACTCCTTTTCAATGGCTGTGGGAAGTTGCACATCGATCAGTACACATCGATCCAGAGCATCCCAATACTAAATGGGTGAGATGTCTGGTGAGTATGCAGGTCATGGAAGAACTGGGGCATTTTCAGCTTCCAGGAATTGTGTACAGATCCTCGCAACATTATCATGCTGAAACATGGGGCGATGAACAGTGGATGAATGGCAAGAAAATGTGCCTCAAGATCTCGTCCCGGTATCTCTGTGCATTCAAATTGCCATCGATAAAATGCAATTGTGTTCGTTGTCTGTAGCTTATGCCTGCCCATACCATAACCCCACTCGCCACCATGGGGAACTCTGTTCACAACGTTGACATCAGCAAACTGCTCGCCCACACGACGCTATACACGTGGTCTGCGGTTGTGAGGCCGGTTGGACGTATTGCCAAATTCTCTAAAATGATGTGTATGGCTTATGGTAGAGAAATGAACATTCAATTCTCTGGCAACAGCTCTGGTGGACATTCCTGCAGTCAGCATGCCAATTGCACGCTCCCTGAAAACTTGAGACATCTGTGGCATTGTGCTGTGAGACAAAACCGCACATTTTAGAGTGGCCTTTTATTGTCTCCAGCACAAGGTCCACCTGTATAATGATCATGCTGTTTACTCAGCTTCATGATATGCCACACTTGTCAGGTGGATGGGTTATCTTGGCAAATAAGAAATGCTCACTAACAGGGATGTAAACAAATTTGTGCACAACATTTGAGAGAAATAAACTTTTTATGCGTATGGAACATTTCTGGGATCTTTTATTTCAGCTCATGAAACATGGGACCAACACTTTACATGTTGGGTTTATATTTTTGTTCAGTGTACTGTATTCTAGTCATGGCTCATCCTATTTAACTACTGCTATTCACTCTTTCTCTATTCACATACTGTCCATAATGTCTATACACACCATTCACATACGTATACTGTATATTATTTATATAGCGGACTAATTTCTTGCAGTTCTCTCCATTTTGCCATGATGTTTTGTATTGTGTATTTATATAGTGTATTCTCCACATAGCTCATTCTAATATTTCTACTACTGTACATTGCATTTTAGTTAGGCTGTTTATACACACCGCATATTTATTTATATACTGGATTCTTGGCATAGCTCACTCTAATAGATCTATTGCTGTACATACCATTCCTAGTATATCTTGTGTAAATTGTGTAGATATATATAGATTGCATTTTGATTACTGTTACTGTGTTATTTGGGTTGTTATTGGATTTGTTTAGAAATGTTTTGATTTCTTGTTGTTCTTTCTGTTTTTTTTTGTTTTTAAATGTATTATTTGTGTACCTGTTTGGCATTTTACTGCATTCTTAGGAGCTAGTAACATAAGCATTTTGTGCACCCGCTATAACATCTGCTAAGCTGTGTAGGCGACCAATAAACTTTGATTTGATTTTATATGTATGCACGTGTAGACTAATGTTCTACAGAGGCGTTCCAGTCCAGCCTTTGTGGCCAACTTTTCATCTATCTGCAAAGTTTGACTAACAAAATGTACTTTGGATTCATATGCTACCAGGTCTCAGAGGAATACGTAAAGAGAAAATATGTATAATTATTTGCTGCACTTAATTATCGTTGCTGTTGTAAAGGGAGAGACAGTAATTGGAGAGTATGAGCTCTTTTGATCTCTGGCGGCAGCAGAGGACATTTTCTGCTGCTAAAATGAGAGCTATATCCAGGTTAGTCATGAACACAAAGGAGCTAGACGAAGAACAATATTGCGTACATGATTGCATGTATGTCACCAGATAACCTTTAGTTAGTTTCAACCCCTTCTCTACATCAAGTTACCAAGAGGAATTTCATGTATTCCTTCTATAATGAACACACTGCTAATGTATAATTATGAATATGAATACTGAATATAGGACATGGCACTGTCGAGATGAGTTTGCTGGGTTTGGTCTTTGGCCTCAGTTAGTAAACCATGTTTCTTCCCTATCAAGTTTTGTCTGTTTTTAGCCTTTCTCTCTCTGCTATGATAGCAGTTAAAACCCAGGCAGGATTTTAGGAGCAAAAGGGGTATGATCTCTGAAAATGAAACTTCTCAGTCTGTCTAAAACTACTTTTTGCACCATTTGATCCTCTGGTTACATTGTATTTGGAGCGTACTGAAGGCTATATCATAAAGGGCCCTTGTCCTGTTGAGGGATGTATAATCACTGTTAAGTGGTGTTAATTGGCTGTTGCGAGCCGCCGTCGAGTGGCATGGAGATAACTCCATAGCCTAATAACCCCACAGTCAGCAAGCAGAGAAGGAGTGAAGGACTGTCGAGGAGACGGTGAAGGGGATGAGAGTGGAGTAGAGGAGAGTGGGTGCTAGCACTGTAGATCGACTGAGTGGAGCAGAGCAGCAGCAGTCGGTCCACAGCAGCAGCAGCCCTCTCTCATTAACTCTGTGTGCTGTAGAGAGCCTGCCTCCCCGTGTTGCTCTGCTCTCCCTTCCAGGGGGGCGCCTCAAAAGTCACACTTGAAAAGGTTTCTGGCCTCTTGAACTGTAGCTGAATGGGGCCGACAGGTTAAACCCTGCTTCGCCACTGTCTGGGGCTGTGGAGCGGGTTGGCTCTGGCTTGCAGCAGCACAGGCCCTAGCTGTTATTGAAATATTGGCTTGAGATGTTTGAGAGAGATTTGGGTAGTATGTAGTGTGAGGTGTAGGTGTGGAAAAAATATTTCCAATCTATGTGGAAATGTAAAGAGTGATCTTTGGAAGAAAGAAAACCTTGCAGAAGCTCTGCAGCAGACATGCTGTAGGTGTTCCTGGTGTGTATGTGTCACTTTCTAATGTTCTCTCTCTCAGCGAGAGAGCGAGAGAGCGAGAGAGAGAGAGCGAGCGAGAGAGAGAGAGAGAGAGAGAGAGAGAGAGAGAGAGAGAGAGAGAGAGAGAGAGATAGATAGATATGCACAAATGGCTCAGTTAGTTTTTACAGACTTCTCATTTCTATGTGCCGGAGTCGAGGAGTTATCAGAATGTGTGTGTGTGTGCTCCTGGGTGGTAAGATGTGGAAGACAGGGAGGGAGGAACCCTTCAGGGCTCATAGCCCAGAGACAGAGCCCTGATCCTAGCCTTGCTCGGCTCAGATGAGCCCCGAGCTCCACACAGCTGGATCAACCCGACACCCTCTATATTCAGAACCACATTCCTGTAAAGCTTAGAGAGGATCTCATGTTAAATACTGTTGAAGTAATATGGCTACAGGTTCATCTGCCTCACCTAAAGCCCCTTCTTGTGGGAAGCTGCTATAGACCACCAAGTGCTAACAGTCAGTATCTGGATAATATGTGTGAAATGCTTGTGTATGTGATATATATTTTCTGGGTGATTTCAATATTGACTGGCTTTCATCAAGCTGCCCACTCAAGAAAAAGCTTCAAACTGTAACCAGTGCCTGCAACCTGGTTCAGGATATCAGTCAACCTACCAGGGTAGTTACAAACAGCACAGGAATGAAATCATCAACATGTATTGATCACATCTTTACTAATGCTGCAAAAATTTGCTTTAAAGCAGTATCCAAATCCATTGGATGTAGTGATCACAATATAGTAGCCATATCTAGGAAAAACAAAGTTTGAAAGGCTGGGCCTAATATAGTGTATAAGAGGTCATACATTACATTTTGTAGTGATTCTTATGATGATGATGTAAAGAATATGTGTGTAATGAGGAGCAACCAGACGCTGCACTTGACACATTTATGAAATTGCTTATTCCAGTTACTAATAAGCATACACCCATTAAGAAAATGACTGTAAAAATGGTTAAATCCCCTTGGATTGGCAAGGAATAAAAAATGTGTATGGTTGAGAGGGAGGAGGCAAAAGATATGGCAAATAAGTCTTGCAGCACAACCAATTGGCAAATGTACTGCAAATTAAGAAATCATGTGACTAAACTAAGTAAAAAGAAGAAGAAACTATACTTTGAAACAAAATAAATTATATAAAGAATGATAGTAAAATGCTTTGGCGCACCGTAAATGAAATTTCGGGCGAAAAGGCAAACTCGGCTCCATCATTCATTGAATCAGATGGCTCATTCATCACAAAACCCACTGATATTGCCAACTACTTTAATAATTTTTTCATTGGCAAGATTAGCAAACCTAGGCATGATATGCCAGCAACAAACGCTGACACTACACATCCAAGCATATCTGACCAAATTATGACAAGCATTGTACTTTTGAATTCCGTTTAAGTGAGTGTGGAAGAGGTGACAAAATGTTTGTCTATCAACAATGACAAGCCACCGGGGTCTGACAACCTGGATGGAAAATTACTGAGTGTAATAGCGGATGATATTGCCACTCCTATTTGCCATATCTTCAATTTAAGCCTACTAGAAAGTGTGTGCCCTCAGGCAAAATGACAACAGACTTTCAGCACACGTATAGTGAAGGACATTCAACAAGCACAGCACTTACACAAATGACTGATGATTGGTTGAGAGAAACTGATGATGAAAAGATTGTGGGGGCTGTTTTGTTAGACTTTAGTGCATCTTTTGACATTATCGATCATAGTCTGCTGCTGGAAAAACGTATGTGTTATGGCTTTACACCCCCTGCTATATTGTGGATAAAGAGATACCTGTCTAACAGAACACAGAGGGTGTTCTTTATTGGAAGCCTCTCCAACATAATCCAAGTAGAATCAGGAATTCCCCAGGGCAGCTGTCTAGGCCCCTTACTTTTTACTAACAACATGCCACTGGCTTTGAGTAAATCAAATCAAATATAGTAAAGCCAGTGTGTCTACGTATGCGGATGACTCAACACTATACATGTCAGTTACTACAGCGACTGAAATGACTGCAACACTTAACATAGAGCTGCAGTTAGTTTCAGAATGGGTGGCAAGGAATAAGTTAGTCTTCAATATTTTAAAAAGTAAAAGCATTGTATTTGGGACAAATCATTCACTAAACCCTAAACCTCAACAAAATCTTGTAATGAATAATGTGGAAATTGAGCAAGTTGAGGTGACTAAACTGCTTGGAGTAACCCTGGATTGTAAACTGTCATGGTCAAAACATATTGATACAACAGTAGCTAAGTCTGTCCATAATAAAGCGCTGCTCTGCCTTCTTAACAACACTATCAACAAGGCAGGTCCTACAGGCCCTAGTTTTGTCGCACCTGGACAAGCTAAATGTACCGAGCTGTCTGTTTAAACTACTCGCACACAGCTCGGACACCCATGCATACCCACAAAACAGAGGTCCCCACCAGAGGTCTCTTCACAATCCCCAAGTCCAGAACAGACTATGGGAGGCACACAGTACTACATAGAGCCATGAATACATGGAACTCTATTCCACATCAGGTAACTGATGCAAGCTGTAGAATCAGATTTAAAAACAGGTAAAAATATACCTTATGGAACAGCGGGGACTGTGAAGAGACACACACAAAGGTACAGACACGCATACGCACACACAAGCGCTAGCACACACACTCTACACACACCTACATTGTAATATTGTTGTATGGTGGGATTATACATTTTGTATTGTAGATATATAGTGGTGTAATAATGTTATAGGATGTACTGTTTTATGTTTTGTTTTATAAGTAATGCAACTGCCTTAATGTGTTTGGACACCAAGAAGAGTAGCTGCTGTCTTGGCAATAGCAAATGGGATTTCCAATAAATACAAATACAAATACAGTTAATCAGTGTTGTTACTCTCCCTTCGTTGATAGGCCTACAATATCATGTAGCTTTGTTGCTCTGTGTGCCTCTGCCTCGAAACCAAACCCTTTGTCTTATATCGTCTCACTGTTTTAGTCATGGTTGGTGTGATGACTACTACTCATGTTTTATGTGCTCATAATGTATTTTAGGTTGTAGGTTAAAATTTGTTATGCCTCCTACATTAGCATGTGAGTGGTACATAATGTTTGTCCGCATTCAGCAGGAGTTTAGCCAGCGACAGCGAGGGTAGGATTGGGACTGAGAATTAGGGGGGGTAATGCGTGACTATTTGTGTTTTAATTAGCGTGGCGGCGTGTCATGTGTTTGTGTATATATAGTTCTGTTTGAGCAGCAGTTTCTCCATCACCTGCTGTTCAAGAGCTCATCCACTGTGCTCCAATGTGTTTTTATGTTATTTGGAAGTATGTAGTGCTATGAAGAATGTATAATAGAGCCAACGCACATCGTGTACAAGTCCAGGTGTTTCAGACAGGGCTCCAGTTGTGCCTGTAGTGTGTTAAATATACATGAACTTGTGAAGGGCTTCGGGAATAGCATTAAGCATACATAGTTTAACTCAGCCTGTGCTTCTCTCCTTCTGCTTCTCTGAAAGCTTTTTTTCAGGTTACATCTGTGCTGCTAAGTAGCACAAATCCTGGTATTGTTGAGCTGCTTTTTGTGGTAACTTTTGTCCCACCCCCTCAGCCTAGGATAAAACCTTCTGTATGAGTCAAACATTATAACCTAAAAACCCTTTCTGTGGGTTCACACAGACACACAGCTGGAAAAAGGACTTACACCGTGAGCATTCAGGACTCAAGACATTGTATTTATCAGCACTGGGTTGAATACACACATGAATACAACTACTAATCTTGTTGTATTAACATATGGATATTGTACGTCTTCCACCATTATGGGCCAATATATTCAATGGGATACTTTTATGACTAGCACATATGATTCATGTCATAATCATATCCACAAAGTTCTTTAAATCTCTTCAGAGCAGGCGCAATTTAAACAACAGCTTTCATTTTTGACTTGCAACTTTCTTTGGCTAGGCTCCGAGCTGCTTCCAGAATCTTAATTTCACACTGCGTTAATTTCACCACATGAAAGATGAGGCTTGGCTTGGCGCTGGCTCTTTTGGGAGAGATACCCTGAATGTGGTGCAGCTAGCGCTAATGACTACTCTGTAATATCGGTGCTCACTCTTTGCCAGACTCTAACCATGTTTGGAGCTCTGCTCTGATGACTAGTATCTGCTGCTGCTGGATTCATTAAAATGACTGATGGAGGTTTGCCACCATGTGTTTCACCACACTCACTAATCTTCTCCGCTATCTAAAATAAAACATTTTGTCTTACTGAGAAGTAAAATATGTAGCTTATGTTGAAGGTTTCAAAACCCTAATGATAAGGTTGCTGTGTAATATCTAGCAATAAGGATTACATTTGAAAAAACCTAGGTATAGCAATGCTTTTAGACACATGACATGGCACAAGAACAGTTAGTTTATGATAATTGCCAATGTATTGACATAAGTCATTATCCAGGCTAGCCAGTTGCTCCATTACATTGTGAAGCCTTGCGTGTAATTGTCTCAAGCTATCTATGATTGCCGTAGAGATAGTGTCTTTCAACAGCCGTAGAAGCCTGGCTGGCACGCAAGGTTACGATAAAGATGACCCCTTGTCTATAATGGGTTATTATGTATATTTAAGGTCAAATGGTGATGAATAATCTGTGAATGAGAAGATGTAAAATGACCTTTCTCAAGAGCATTTCTCTTTCAATCCCCCTCTTCTCCTTCCCTTTCTCCCTCTCTCCCTCCCTCATTCTCTCCCTGCCAGTTGGTGCTTCCAGAGTACTCTATCCATGGGCTGTTCTGTATCATGTTCCTGTGTGCCCAGGAGTGGCTGACAGTAGGCCTCAACATCCCCCTCCTCTTCTACAACACATGGAGGTAACTATCGAAGCTGGACCAGTCTACTTTGTCTTTCTCTCATTTGTAAGATATCATTAATTCAGTGTGGTACCCAGAACATAAGCACTGATATGGAAATATTCACAGACAAAGGCCAACATAAAACATTGACAGAAATTTGACTGACAAAGTAGAGTTTAGTGGAGTCTGCAGTGATTGTAAATATGAACAGATTGTTTTGTCTCTGCTCAACAAAGGGACAAAAGGTCTTACAATACCTTGCATTTTGGTTTGAAATCCTTTGTAAAAAATCTCAAAAGAGCTTTTCAAAAGTTCCTGCAATAAAGAAAAATATTGTATTTCTTTAATGAATTGAACACTTCAATAAGTTAAAATTGTAATTTGACAGACAGGCTGTACGTGACTTTGGTTATGATTCTCTGAAATCACACCCTGAAAATGGGTCACCTGTCACGGCTCCCTCCCATTAATACGTTGTATTCTCTTTTCTTTTGGCTTGTTCTTGTTTCGTTATTTGATGTGAATCACTTGCAGAACTGTGATTGTTTTGCTCAGCCGGTTGAAGTTACGCAGCAACGCTCACTGAATCATTAATTGCAGACTGCCAGATGCCCAGTGGCTACAGATGCTGTTCTCGCTGCACAGCTGAGAGGAGACAGGGAGCGATGGAGAGAGAGGGAGCGAGAGAGAGCGCGAGAGCGAGAGAGAGAGAGAGAGAGAGAGAGAGAAAGAAAAGAGTGAACGAAAGAGAGGTGGAGATATGGGGGAGGGAGACCTACAGCAGCTATAGATCTGTCCGTCTGCTTTCCTTCCCAGTGAGCACAGCTGATGCCTAATGTCTTCAGCTCGTCCCCCTCCACTCCATCAGCCCCCACATGCAGCAGGGGCTCAGTGACACACAGTCACATCAACAGGGGAGAGGTTTAAATTTAGGTATAGCAGCAGCAACACAGTGGAACGGAGCATCACTACCTGTGTAAAGCAGATACATACTGTACATGCAGATGAAAAGCAGTGGCTATATTTCTGTCAAAGATGTCTCAGTTTAAGGTCAATTCCAAATAGCCTCATTAAAAGAGGACCATCACGCTCTCCCAAAAGTTTGGTTGGCTTCCATTGCTTCCAAAATGTGCCAGTGAACCTAAAGCCTGTGGCTCTTAGAGCCCAGCATAGCACCTCACTAGTCAGACTGAGCTGGTCCTCTCCGTTTAAGGTAAATTCCAAATAGCCTTATTAAAAGAGGACCATCACGCTCTCCCAAAAGTTTGGTTGGCTTCCATTGCCTCCAAAATGTGCCAGTGAACCTAAAGCCTGTGGCTCTTAGAGCCCAGCATAGCACCTCACTAGTCAGACTGAGCTGGTCCTCTCCTCCTCCCCAAACCCCCAGTGCAGCCATCTCCAGTCTCTGCTACCTGGAGGGCCATGAAGCTGGGTCCACTGGAAGAGCCCTGCTACAGTAGAAGGGATCCCTCTCTCTCTGTGTTGAGACTGAACTCATCCTGGTAGCACACACAGACATAGACAGCTGCCCCCCTGTCCCCACCATGCCCCCACCATTTCCCCCAGTACTATCTCTCTCTATCAACCTCCACCTGGGTCCCTCTCTCTGTGCCTGTACCTCTCTCTTCTTCAGGTACTGTGAGAGGTAGTGGAGCTGAGGTTACAGCCCCCCCCCCCCCCCCCCCCCCCTCCAACCATGTACTGTCAGTCAGTGTGCTGAGTTACTGTCTGACTGTGAAATAGGCCACTGTCTCTGGTGGTATCTGTCCTGATGGGAGAGATGTGTTGCAGATGTGTTAATGGAATGGGCAGAATGGTTGTGATTCTGGATTATTTATTATTGACTAACCTTTATTTTACAAGGTACATTAAGTTGATTGAAAACACATTCTCACACACATTCTCATTTATAGCAATCTTGTTCAACATTAATTTTCAAAAACCCAGTCACAATTTATTTAATAGTCTGTCTATAGTACAAACGACTTAGAAACCATTATTGAATAGTTTGTTACCCATTAGCAAACTATTGGTAAATCATTATAAACCATGTGTTCATGTATCTATTAACATAAGTAAATACATGTACCTATGTTCATAAACCATGCATTCCAATTATTACAACCTGTAATCATGCACAACTTAACCATACTAATCATGAACAGTCAGATGTTTCATGTAAAGAGGGTGTCCCCCCTACTCATCCTCCATCTCTCCATTCTTCCTTCCATCTTCCCCTCCGTCCCTCCATCTCTACGGGTCAACTACCCCTCGTGTGTCGTGTCCCTATTCGGTAGGTACTTCCACAGCCCCACAGACACTAAGGAGCTCCTCTACGACCCAGCCTCGGTCATGAACGGGGACACGCTCAGGTTCTGCCAAAAAGAGGCCTGGTGCAAGATGTCCTTCTTCGTCCTCTCCTTCTTCTACTATCTCTACTGGTGAGTGAGAAATGCACTGTCCACTGTGTTGTTTGGTAAGGTGTTAGGATGCAGACAATGATCATCACCTCAAAGTGACTAACTACAGTATAGTTGTTACTCCTTTTCAGGGCTGTTACATGCTGTTACATGCTTTTTCAGACATGTATTGTTCACCAGTGTGTTTATGCTGCATTGGCTGTTTAAAGTTTAAAGACCCCAAGTGTAGATTTCTGCTGTGCCTAATCCAGCATCTGAATTCACAAGGACATGATGTCCTTTTAGTATGCCATGCAGCCAGCAGTGGGCCTGCTAGATTTTTTCACAGTGTCAACTCTTGTTGATGTTTACATAGCCATACAGCATAAGGGCAGGGGTCAATTGCCATTTCAGTTTAGCCAATTCAGGTTATGATTGGGACATTTTCAATTCCTGAACTAAAACGTTTTAACGAATCACTTATATTGACTAAATTGAAATGGAATTGACCCTACAGCCCCTGGTTGTAGTAACGTCTCACCAGAGGTACAGTGCATTTGTAATTGACCAGTCGGAAGTGTTGAATGTGGTCATGTGACTCTCCTCCCCTCGGCTGTAGCGTGTACTGGACCTGACCTTCCATTTGGTGCTCCGCTGGCCTTCTACTAGTAGTGAGTCTCTCTACAGTGGGTTTGTCACCTTGTGATACTGACCCCCTCCCTGACCCCTGCCCCCTGCACACAGTATTTCTCTTTCGCTCTCTCTTTCTTACCCCTCAGCGAAACTGTAACATTGATGCACAATCTTGCCTTGTGAATGGGCCCCTAACCTCTGACCTCCATTACTCCCGCCCCCCTGACCTACTGGTGTTTGTCACAGGGGAGGCGGTCACTCTAGTGGAGTCCAATATGGAATATAATATAGCAATATAATAATATGGAGTCCTCCATTGTTTAACCTTGATGAGATGTGTGTTTTTTCCTAATGTTTAACCACTGCTATGGATGTTATGTAACGTTACTGTATATGAATGCTTCCCTCTCTTTGTCTACTACTGTAATACTGCTCCAAGGCCTACCCACTCTCACTCACATCTCCACTTGTCTTTGGCATGATCTCTAAACCTTTCCTTGCATACATACACACTTACAAACAGATGCAGAGGCACTCATATACACACACACACTCATACTGTACACACACACTCACTGCCTGAAGCTATCGAGCATCAGCTGAATAATGCTCTCCCACTCACAGATTGATGGGAAATCAAAGATTAACTCTGGAGGCCTAACCCTCTCAATTACAATGGCCAGGTTTGCCTCGGCTCATTAGCCCAACAGCCGTTTAAATATAATGGAACAAGAAATGATTGTGTGGCTCTGATAAGGAAGCAGAGCTCAATATAAAGGTTTATGCCCTCAGTGAGGAATATACTGTATTCGCCTGTGGAAGCCAAGCTACTGGGTGAATTAAAACAACCTCAATGACAGTCAGACAGACAGACAAGCTGACAGCAAGGACATATGTAGCATGTCTGTCCCCTCTACCTTGAAGAGCAGTCTGGAGATGAAATGTGATCTAATTCACATCTCATACTGTAATGTAATATCTAATGTAATGGTATATTAGTACAGTAATAGTAACTCTTGCCAAACATGATGTAGATTTCAAGTACGGGTCTTGTTACACTGAAGGTGTTTAACAGGACCAGTAAGTGGGAGATCCAATAGCTAGGGAGTGTCTGTCCCACAAATCTCCTCAGCTGTTGTTCAGCTTGCTGTCTCACTGTTTGGTACAGTGTTGACTAGGCTTGGTCTTCATCAAATTACATGGGGTCTTTTTTCACCTAACAGCTGAGTAATAATGGAGATGTTTGTATAGTAGATTAGGATCAGTGATCCTGTGATGAGCTACGATGAGTAGATGCCGTGGTGAGGAGCAGTAGCTTTGGGCTAAGGCTGGCCTAAGGCTACTAAGGAATCTAGCTACAGATCTGAGGGTTTTTTAAACCTGGGGCTAATGGAGAGATCATCATCTGCCTAAGCTGCCTCTGGTTCTCCTAACACTGGGTGTAAGACACCTCCAGGCCATCATACTTATTGTGCCTCCATTACATTAGGAAACATGGATATTGATAACCCAGACCAACAGGAGAGCTCAGGCTTCACCGCAGCAGGGATTAGTCCCTCACAGGCCAGAGGATAGCAGGATTCTTGCAAATGTCTCCAATTGGGAGTAGCTAGGTGATCATGATTAGCTTAAGCACTAAATGTGCTATTGTGGTAGAGTTAGCTAGGAGGCTAAATTATTTTAGAATATGTTTATTTGTTTACCTGATGCTAAGAACAAATGTTAAGTGTTGGCATCTGGGAGACCTACACTTGTCTGACCAGTTCACAAAATGTTGTTATGCTAACATGATTCATGGTTGTAAAGAACAAAACTCAAGGGCTGTCCTCATTTGAATAAACCATAACATTGTATATTTCATGAGCAGTGTTGTGTGTGCTATGACATAGGCCTACCTCTTATTTCGAGCCCAGTTCTTCAAATAAATATTACATTTTTAAGTTTGATTTATCGACAACATTACTCAAGCATAACTTTACTGCAGCCTGACATCAATTTCTTGCTTATTTAGTTGCTTGTGTTTTGAATAGGCGAAATGTTTATCCCTTCTAGTCGAAAAGCCCATATGCACAACATTAAAGGGCTCTTTTAATTGCAACTTCAAATAAACAAGCACAAACAAAGTCTAAGTGAATCTGGCAGGCACCCAGGCACCCAGCCTGAACACATCAACCACTACTAAACCAAGCATGGATTTATCAGATGTTTCACTTTAACACAGCTCTTGAACGCTCCTTTCTTGAATGTGTATTAATTCCAGTGGACCAGTTTATAATCTAATAGATTTTGGCAATGGTGTTAGTAATTGTTGTTGGTGTTACTGTTTGGTCCAATCATGTAGTCTCAGTCATTGATTTGTATTCTTGTGTTTTTTCCCTCTCTTGTCTTCCAGTATGGTCTACTCCTTGGTAACCTCATAACAGCAGAACTCTCTGTATTTGAGCCATCCTCCGGATATCAGACACATTTCTGGAATATGAGCTAGCTAGCGCAAACAACAACTTTGGAGCAAAAAAGAGCACTTTGTGTCACAGCTTTTCTGTTTCATGAGAAGGACAGTTGTTGAGTCTGGGCTGTGCTGGTCTGGTCTGGTCTGGACTTGGGGGAAAGGAAGGGTTTCAGCACCAGTCCCCATCGTCTCCTCAATGTATGTAAAGAGACATTACAGTACTGTTTACAGTTATCTGTAGGTCAAAAGCCCATGATGAGTCACAGCGACCACCATATCTACTTGTGTCTGTCACTGCCTGGCCAATGTTTGTACTCACAGCCTGTCCTGTCCTGGAGAAGTACAGTAGCATCACCACTACCGTAGTAGGGCACAGTAGTGTTTTTTCTTTTTTACAGGGTAGATCAGCTTTAATATTGCAGATAGATTGTGGCTTCTATCAATGTAATTGTCTGCATCATTTCCAATCCCCCATATATTTTTTGGGTAAATATATATGTATATATATATATATATATATATATATATATATATATATATATATTTACCCCAAAAAATATATGGGGGATTGGAAATCATTATATATATATTTATATTTATATATTTTCCTCTATTATTTTCCCCTAACCCTACCACCCCTACTCTAATTTGAGTAAACTAATGGACAACAACACTTAGGCTTCTACTTCCAGCTTATACATACTATATACAGTACCAGTGAAAAGTTTGGACACACCTACTCATTCAAGGGTTTTTCTTTATTTTGACTATTTTCTACATTGTAGAATAATAGTGAAGACATCAAAACTATGAAATAACACATACGGAATCATGTAGTAACCAAAAAACTGTTAAACAAATCAAAATATATTTTATATTAGAGATTCTTCAAATAGCCACCCTTTGCCTTGATGACAGCTTTGCACACTCTTGGCATTCTCTCAACCAGCTTCACCTGGAATGCTTTTCCAACAGTCTTGAAGGAGTTCCCACATATGCTGAGCACTTGTTGGCTGCTTTTCCTTCACTCTGCCGTCCGACTCATCCAAACCATCTCAATTGGGTTGAGGTCGGGGGATTGTGGAGGCCAGGTCATCTGATGCAGCACTCCATCAAATCAAATCAAATAAATTTTTATTGGTCACATGCGCCGAATACAACAGGTGGAGACATTACAGTGAAATGCTTACTTCGATTACTTCCATCACTCTCCTTCTTGGTAAAATAGCCCTTACACAGCCTGGAGGTATGTTGGGTCATTGTCCTGTTGAAAAACAAATGATAGTCCCACTAAGCCCAAACCAGACGGGATGGCGTATCGCTGCAGAATGCTGTGGTAGCCATGCTGGTTAAGTGTGCATTGAATTCTAAATAAATCACAGACAGTGTCACCAGCAAAGCACCCCCACACCATAACACCTCCTCCTCCATGCTTTGCGGGGGGAAATACACATGCGGAGATCATCCGTTCACCCACACCACGTCTCACAAAGACACGGCGGCTGGAACCAAAAATCTCAAATTTGGACTCCAGACCAAAGGACACATTTCCACCGGTCTAATGTCCATTGCTCGTGTTTCTTGGCCCAAGCAGGTCTCTTCTTCTTATTGGTGTCCTTTAGTAGTGGTTTCTTTGCAGCAATTAAACCATGAAGGCCTGATTCACACAGTCCCCTCTGAACAGTTGATGTTGAGATGTGTCTGTGACTTGGACTCTGTGAAGCATTTATTTGGCCTGCAATTTCTTAGGCTGGTAACTCTAATGAACTTATCCTCTGCAGCAGAGGTAACTCTGGGTCTTTCATTCCTTTGGCGGTCCTCATGAGAGCCAGTTTCAAGATAGAGCTTGATGGTTTTGCGACTGCACTTGAAGAAACTTTCAAAGTTCTTGACATTTTCCGTATTGACTGTCCTTCATGTCTTAAAGTAATGATGGACTGTCGTTTCTCTTTGCTTATTTGAGCTGTTAATATGGACTTGGTCTTTTACCAAATAGGGCTATCTTCTGTATACCCCCCTACCTTGTCACAACACAACTGATTGGCTCAAACGCATTAAGAAGGAAAGAAATTCCACAAATTAACTTTTAAGAAGGCACACCTGTTAATTAAAATACATTCCAGGTGACTACCTCATGAATCTGGTTGAGAGAATGCCAAGAGTGTGCAAAGCTGTCATCAAGGCAAAGGGTGGCTATTTGAAGAATTTCAAATATAAAATATATTTAGATTTGTTTAACAATTTTTGTGGTTACTACATGATTCCATATGTGTTATTTCATAGTTTTGATGTCATCACTATTATTCTACAATGTAAAAATAGTAAAAAATAAAGAAAAACCCTTGAATGAATAGGTGTGTCCAAACTTTTGACTGGTAGTATACATTTTAAGGACACAGTGTATTTTACATTAGTTATCTTTTCTTTGTTTTTAGTCCCAGCATTCAGCTCCCTTCAACCTCTCCCATCTATCTCTGAAGACCATCCAGTTTTGATTTAATATATTTTTCAACTGTGCTGTGATGTTTTACAAAAGTTCTGAACCTATAAACATTTTACGGACACAGTATATTTTACATTAGTTTGCACAGTTTGTCTCAGACACAGCACAGAGAAACACACCACAGCACAGTTGTGGTCGTCAACGGGACAAACAGGTCTTCTTCTTAACCCATCTGCCCTTAGAGTCTCACTGATAGTAGCTTCTTCTTCACTGGTGGGAAGGGGAGATGACACATGATGACACATCCTGTACAGAGACAAGGTGAACATTCTGTACAGGGACAGGGAAACCAGGTCAGCCAATGTTGCATTTTTGCCTGCCGCATTACACTACATGGCCTGTGTGTTTATATACAACATTACATTACTATGTGAATGGCTTTTGTGATGTGTGTGTGTGTGTATTTTGTGTATTCTTAACAAAAGCATTTCAAAATGAAATATGGTCGACAAAGCATTATATACAAATGGAATATTGTGTGATTCTCTGTCGTTTTAGTGAATTTATTTGGTGGAGAGATTTTTCAATTAACAGAAAAACTGAAATAACTAGATAAGCAACAATTCTTTGCACAATAGTGTATTACATTGTATTACATTTTTTTGTACCATATTTGCAATGTTTGGTTTTGTTTAAATACTCTATAGTCTACCCAAATGGCTGACGGTCTTCCAGTATATAAGGATTTATTACACCCTATTTTAAATGGGGAAAAAATATGACTCTTTTTATCACTATTTCCATAATGGACCAAATGTTGTACTTATTTACATAATTTATTAAAATTGAATTGTTAACTCCTTCCTTTCATACTTTGTCCAAAAAACATTTAATCATAAATATAAGTGAATTGCATATCTGCCTCCACTGTAAGATGGTATATAAACCTAAAGCCACTGTTAAAGTTCTAACTGTACTCACATTCCCATTACCATAAGCTACCAGATGCTGGCAATAATTAAACACTGTCTGAAAACAGCTATGGACTTCAGAGCTTTTGGCAATGCTTTTTCATTGTATTGTCTGTTAGCTGCATAGTTCGTATGCATCTTTGCTCAGAAGTATTTCATCAACCTTTACTCAAGGTTTAGAAAGGAATGCCCATATTGTTATATTATTTAAGAGCATTTTATATCTTAACATATTAACTCTGTATGCGTCCACCCAGGATGAATTTAGATAATTGTTTATGAAATAAAGTATGACTATTTTAAAATGTGACATCAGAGGCTTTCTCTCTTTGAAATTGTATGTCTTTTTTTATTTCTTTTTCTTTTCCTGAAATAATTTTTCTGTCATGGTGTAGGTTTTTAAATGGCTAGAGGACTGTAACTATCAAGGGGAAGAAATGTTGTGGTCCTCTAAAGAACTGAAGAAATAAACGTATGTATTTCCGCAAATATCTACACTGACTGTAATAAATAAAAAGGGTGTGCGTTAGGAACACATTAGGAACACCTGCGCTTTCCATGACATAGACTGACCATGTGAATCCAGGGGAAAGCTATGATCCCTTATTGATGTCACATGTTAAATCCACTTCAATCAGTGTAGATGAAGGGGATGAGACAGGTTAAAGAAGGATTTTTAAGCCTTGAGGCAATTGAGACATGGATCGTGTGTGTGCCATTCAGAGGGTGAATGGGCAAGACAAAATATTTAAGTGCCTTTGAACGGGGTATGGTAGTAGGTGCCCGGTGCATCGGTTTGAGTGTGTCAAGAACTGCAACGCTGCCTGGTTTTTCACACTCAACCATTTCTCGTGTGTATCAAGAATGGTCCACCACCCAAAGGACATCCAGACAATTTGGAACAACATTGGGACGCATTGGAGCGCTGTGCCCATGTAAGTATCAGAGCTGTGTCCAATGTTGCCGTGCGACGGTGAGGGCAGAGACAGATCGGTCACAGCCTGTCCTCCCATGGGGCACCTGATTACTGCCGTTCCCCTCGCCGTTCCTCTCTTCTCCCTCCCCCAACCCCCTCGCCTCTCTCTCTGCTCCCCTTGCCAGCATCTGACGCTCCATTCAGCTCATGTCAAACGGCTCTGGCACTCAAACTCAAATTCTCTTAACCTGCTTCTGCGGCCCCACTCAGAAGACACCTCTTACCCACTTAAAGAGATGCTTGTGCTGTTGTACAGTAGATCAACTATGTGTGTTAAGAGGCTCTGTACAGGACATCTCAATTTGATATTTTCATTTTAGAGTGATCAGGTGACTGATATGTTATGATATCATGTCTCGCTACTCAGTAATGTCTCACCTCCTCCCTCAGCAGTGACAGATTCCAGATCACAGCTTTTCTCTAAATCCTCATCATGTCACAGCTTTTCTCTAAATCCTCATCATGTGGCCCCATGTAGCTCAGTTGGTAGAGCTTGGCGCTTGCAACTCCAGGGTTGTGGGTTTGTTTCCCACGGGGGGCCAGTATGAGAAAATGTATGCACTCACTAACTGTAAGTCGCTCTGGATAAGAGCGTCTGCTAAATGACTAAAATGTAAATGTAATGTCTGGATTTCAGCCAGACTGACCTGAAAATACTGTCTAAAGCCAACCAAATGCTATCTTCCTAGTGAAGTGAATTCTACACTTTCCTGCTTCCGTTGCATTTCCCTCGATGTGAGTTACTGTCCTCTCCTGGAATATCCTTGGATGAGAGACTGTTGCTGAGCATTATGGGGCTTGACGTGTGTGGTTGTGCCCCCCGCTGCAGCAGACGGACAACCTGTCCTGGCTGTTTTAGATGCCCATCCTGTCAGCTCGCATTACCCAGCAGCCCCTGGGAGAGAGAATTTCACCTGCCTGTTCCTTCCACTCCCTCTAACCCTGGATCTGAACACATGTGACACCCTGAACTGTATCTCCCATCATAACTCACCCCCGGTCCAGATCAGACACTGTCTTGTACTCTCCACTCCATTGGCTTTGGTTTACATCGGATGCTATATACAGTAGATGGGAGTCTGAAACAACGTAATAACACTGTCATTTTCAGAAGGAGGTTAAATAGCTAAATAGTTGGCCTCAGAGCTGTAGAGCAAAACATAAATCTGACTAAAAGGCATATAAACCAGCCATAATCAGACATATATTTTGCTATTTGGGTAAACCTGGCATTTTCAAGAGTTTCAGCAGTCATCTTGTCAGAGGTTATACAGTAATAATCATTGTTAGTTCAAGGGAAAGCTGTAAAAAAAAATCACATAGAAAACGTGTCAGATAAGAGTCATCCCATAATGACAAGTAATTGTCTTATTGCCTCTTTAAATTATCATCATCACACAAAAGACTACATTAATATCCAACTAAGACTCTTCCTGATGCTTCTAATTAACCTCTGAATGTTCTGAGAGTTAGCATTCTAGTTCATCATATTTTCTTCAAGTTAAAGAGCCTACAGAGTCCGGATGCAGAGACATAAAAGATGGATTAATTAGGAAATAATATGAACCGGTTGGGAGGCTTATCATTAATCACTTTACAACACTTTTTGGCTTAGTTTTCAGGATTAGCTAAATGACCAAAATGTTTTCCTCTCCTATACTCTCTTTGACTGAGATCTCTCAGCTATACAGTAGTTTCTGCCAGCAGTAATGATGAAGTCATCTGAGCTGTAGCCAGACTGGGTAAAGTTAAAGTACAGTCTCTCTCTCCATTAATAAGCAGAATGAGTGTCTGTCTGTGACACCCTCCAGGCCTGTCTCTAAGGGGTTTCCTCAAACACACAGTGATGTACAGCTTATCAGTCAGTGGTGAAGCGGACACTTAAATATACTACTGTAAGGTGCCTGTCTAATTGCACCAGGCTCACACTGTCTGTCTATTAGATGTGGGATAGACACACATTGGTGCATCTATGTAGGTTGAGCATTTCATGAACCCGAAAAGGAGACACCTCTAGAAGAATATATAGGGTGATTATTTACACACATTATTGTTGTCATGACCTAGACCAGAGTATAAGTTAGACATAGCTAAAGCTCATCCAGACAGATCTGGAACCAGGCTAGGAAGAGGCAGTGAGCTTGGTTTCCTTTCACTGCAGATCGGCTAGTTTGAATCAGATCCATTCCACAGAGCCAAACATGATGGCATCAGATTAAAACCACAGCCTATGACTCTACTGTGTGCACCAATAATTTATCCATTTACTTCCCATCACCTACAGAGAGCAAACTGCTATCTAGAACATTCCACTGCCTCTCTCATTGTGCTCAGTGTACCACTGCAGAGTTATGGGCGGCTAGCGGATACGCTAACCTGACTAGAATAGATGTCTACGGCGCGCCGCAATTCCTTCAACCTCGGAGCAGCACAACAGGCAAACAATGAAGCAGGCTAAGTGGCCCACTTTACTGAGCATATTTTATCATCATGATTCTATTTTGTGATATTATTTATTTTTATTTCCTTCAGTGGACTCTGAATTGAATTTGTATCAATGTAGACATTTGCCCCCATGTACACAATGCCTGTTTGTAACTGATGTGATGTAATGTCCTTTTCCATTGTGACCTGAATCAGTTAAAATGTCTGTGATATAATGTGCTGTCTTGTTGATGTAAATATGAGTTGACATGGATATGGTCTATACTGTATGGAACATTACTGTATGTTCCGAAGCACCTTAGTAGCTTACTGGCCGTGGACAGACTTTTAATGGCCTAATTCGGTTCCCTTAGTAATGTTAACCTTGTAACTGTTGTTGTTTATGTTTGCAGCTGAATTAATCCAGATGTGTGCTTTGGATCCCTCCTCTGTCATATGATCTAAGGTCAGGAGACAGGCTTGCTGTGCCAACACACACATACACACACACACACACACACACACACACACACACACACACACACACACAGAGAGCGAAAGACAGAGAGAGAGACGGAGAGAGACAGAGAGAGAGAGAGAGACAGAGAGACAGGGAGATAGAGAGTCAGAGAGAGAGACAGAAAGAGAGACAGAGTCAAAGAGCGAGACAGAAAGAGACAGAGAGAGAGAGAGACAGAGAGACAGAGTAGGGCTGTCTAGAAAATACTAGGTCTTTGACTCTCCAGTGATCCCTGTATAGAACTGTCTGACTCATTGAGGTTATAGGCAGTGGATCTACTCTTTGACATTAGTGAAGCTTAAAAAATGTTCTGCTCTTCACCAGAGCAGATGTCATCTATTGATCCTTATCATAGGCATCTCTGGGCCATGGATGATCAACAATATGGGATATCACTTCTGATGTTTCATATAGATCTGAGAGTGGATATGCCGAGAAATAAGTTGTGGGAATGGCATTTTCTTGTCCCTTACGCTTATTGACAATTAGTGATGGTACCTGAGATGTTTCCGTAGCCAGCAGAAGTCTAGATTAGTATCCTTCAGAGCGGAGGCAAATCTCAGAGACACGTGGGTGGACTCAGCGTGTATGTGTGTATGTGTGTGTGTATGTATGTGCGTGTGTGTGTGTGTCCTGAGGCAGGCTGAGACAGATGCTGGACTCTCAGTCAGAGTGCTAATTACCACAGATCTGTGCTTCTCCTCAGCACTGAGATGACCTTCAGCACTGTTCCCTCACCCAGTGCTACTGTATACACCGGATTCACACACACACTATTATACTGTGCAAAGCACACCACTGATATCACACTTCCTCACACACACATACACACAGCTTCTCTCAGCGGAAGCACAGTGAGTCAAAAGCCACTCCTTTCTAGGAAGATGCAAATTCTCATTGCTCCTGACCATTCCTGATGATCTGTTCTAAGAAAAGCAGCAACTTTGAAATAAGACACTAGCTCCATGTCTTATGTGGAGCCCCGTCTTTTTGTGAGATCGCACAATTGGCCCAGCGTCGTCAGGGTTAGGGGAGGGTTTGGCCGGCCGGGATGTCCTCCTCCCATCGTGCTCTAGCGACTCCTTGTGGCGGGCCGGGCGCATGCACGCTGACTTCGGTCGCCAGCTGTACAGTGTTTCCTCCGACACATCGGTGCGGCTGGCTTCCGGGTTAAGCGAGCAGCGTGTCAAAAAGCAGTGCGGCTTGGCAGGGTCGTGTTTCGGAGGACGCATGGCTCTCGACCTTCGCCTCTTCCGAGTCCGTGCGGGAGTTGCAGCAATGGGACAAGACTGTAACTACCTATTGGGGAGAAAAAATACTAAGTGATAGTGGCTGGGCTAGACTGGTACCACATAGGGAGGGAAGGGGAAGCATGCAGGGAGTCAGTACAATGGACTGTTTGGCTCGGACCACACAACAAACCTGGAATGGATCTTTGTCTATTTAAAAACCATTAAGATTTCAATTAGGAGGCAGTATGTTGCCCTATAACGAAGACCAAACTAAGATTGAAGGAAGCGGGGTCAGTACATGGTAGCTTGTGGCTGAGCAGTACCCCTCAGAGCCCTTTTATCCACTGAGGCAGTATTGAGTCTGGCAGCCCATGGCTGTCCCTCTACATCAGGTACAGTTGAAGTCGGAAGTTTACATACACTTAGGTTGGAGTCATTAAAACTCGTTTTTCAACCACTCCACAACTTTCTTGTTAACAAACTATAGTTTTGGCAAGTCGTTTAGGACATCAACTTTGTGCATGACACAAGTAATTTTTCCAACAATTGTTTACGGACAGATTATTTCACTTATAATTCACTGTATCACAATTCCAGTGGGTCAGAAGTTTACATATACTAAGTTGACTGTGCCTTTAAACTGCTTGGAAAATTCCAGAAAATGATGTCATGCTTTAGAAGCTTCTGATAGGCTAATTGACATAATTTGAGTCAATTGGAAGTGTACCTGTGGATGTATTTCAAGGCCTACCTTCAAAAGTGCCCTCTTTGCTTGACATCATGGGAAAATCAAAAAGAAATCAGCCAGACCTCAGAAAAAAAAATTGTAGACCTCCACAAGTCTGGCGCAATCCTTGGAACAATTTCCAAACGCCTGAAGTACTACGTTCATCTGTACAAACAATGTATGCAAGCGGAAACCCATCGGACCACGCAGCCTTCATACCGCTCAGGAATGAACGCGTTCTTCTCCTAGAGATGAACATAACTTTGTGGCGAAAAGTGCAAATCAATCCCAGAACACAGTCAAAGGACCTTGTGAAGATGCTGGAGGAAAAGTACAAAAGTTCTATATCCACATTAAAACAAGTCCTATATCGACATAACCTGAAAGGCCTGTCAGCAAGGAAGAAGCCACTGCTCCAAAACCGCCATAAAAAAGCCAGACTACGGTTTGCAACTGCACATGGGGACAAAGATCTTACTTTTTGGAGAAATGTCCTCTGGTCTGATGAAACAAAAATAGAACTGTTTGGCCATAATGACCATCGTTATGTTTGGAGGAAAAAGGGGGTGGCTTGCAAGCCGAAGAACACCATCCCAACCGTGAAGCACAGGGGTGGCAGCATCATGCTGTGGGGGTGATTGGCTGCAGGAGGGACTGGTGCACTTCACAAAATAGATGGCATCATGAGGAAGGGAAAATTATGTGGATATATTGAAGCAACATCTCAAGACATCAGTCAGGAAGTTAAAGCTTGGTCGCAAATGGGTCTTCCAAATGGACAATGACCCCAAGCATACTTCAAAAGTTGTGGCAAAATGGCTTAAGGACAACAAAGTCAAGGTATTGGACCTCAATCCTATAGAACATTTGTGGGCAGAACTGAAAAAGCGTGTGTGAGCAAGGAGGCCTACAAACCTGACTCAATTACACCAGCTCTGTCAGGAGGAATGGGCCAAAATTCATCCAACTTATTGTGGGAAGCTTGTGGAAGGCTACCCAAAACATTTGACCCAAGTTAAACAATTTAAAGGCAATGCTACCAAATACTAATTGAGTGTATGTAAACTTCTGACCCACTGGGAATGTGATGAAAGAAATAAAAGCTGAAATAAATCATTCTCTCTACTATTATTCTGACATTTCACATTCTTAAAATAAAGTGGTGATCCTAATTGACCTAAAACAGGGAATTTTTACTTGGATTAAATGTCAGGAATTGTGAAAAACTGAGTTTAAATGTATTTGGCTAAGGTGTATGTAAAGTTCCGACTTCAACTGTATGTCAGCATGGCCACAGCCTGGGCCCTGCCACCGCCACTGAAAGCTGGCCAACACAGGGCTCCACTGCCACCACTGAAAGCTGGCCAACACAGGGCTCCACTGCCACCACTGAAGGCTGACCAACACAGGGATCCACCACTGCCACTGAAGGCTGGCCAACACAGGGCTCCACCACCACCACTGAAGGCTGGCCAACACAGGGCTCCACCATCGCCATGGAGCTACACACACATAGAATTACACAACCACACACACACATACTGTACACGTACACATACTCGGCCCCCTGCCTGATGTTCACCATACAATAACCTCACACACATACACATGTATCTGCTAAACACACTGTTGGCCCACTTACACACCATATACACATACCCAGCCTCTCACACAAATACACTCCCCATGCAGAGAAACTAACGAAAACTAAAAACTTGGTCCACTAACACACACTGTTACACACTCACACACACTGTGCTCTGGGGGAGCCAATGCGAGGGGGCTGTGTTTACTCATAAGCAAATCTATTAACAAAGAGGCCTCGGGCTGCTTCAGATGAAGGATCTCCTAAAATAGCCGAGCTCCTGTGTGACTACTGGGATGACTCCAGCTTCTGCCTGCTTTCTGCATGTAACAGCTAGCTAGCTACACCTGGCCCATCGTCTGCAAGTGGAGTGTGTTCAAATACTCACAGGAGTCCTGCTGCTGCCATGCACGTTGGTTCTGTGCTGTTCGAGAGGAGAGGAGGGTGGTATTCTCTCACAGGCTGTTGATTTAACATTCTGGAAGCGGTTTGACTAATTTTACGTGTCTCTGCAGATAAGAACTGTTTCGATGTTGTTGCTATTTACGTACAGTAGTTCTGTACTGTATGTCCCCCGTTCCTGCTCTTTGGAAACGGAGGAACGTATAGGCAGTGACCGGGTATCTAATGTAAAGATAAGGGTATATGCAGTGACCGGGTATCTAATGTAAAGATAAATGTATAGGCAGTGACAGGGTATCTAATGTAAAGATAAGGGTATAGGCAGTGACAGGGTATCTAATGTAAAGATAAGGGTATAGGCAGTGACAGGGTATCTAATGTAAAGATAAATGTATAGGCAGTGACAGGGTATCTAATGTACAGATAAGGGTATAGGCAGTGACAGGGTATCTAATGTAAAGATAAGGGTATATGCAGTGACAGGGTATCTAATGTAAAGATAAATGTATAGGCAGTGACAGGGTATCTAATGTAAAGATAAATGTATAGGCAGTGACAGGGTATCTAATGTAAAGATAAGGGTATAGGCAGTGACAGGGTATCTAATGTAAAGATAAATGTATAGGCAGTGACAGGGTATCTAATGTAAAGA